CACAAAGACATTGGAGAAGAGTGTGCAGATGTATGCTATTCTGAACAGCAAATTGAATCAGTAAAAGCAGGGAACACTCCGCTAGTAGATAAACACCAGGAAGCTTATTGTTCAACATTGAACAACGAGGAAGGTGGAATGGTAGAAAGAGCTCAAGTAAGAGGTGACTCTTCTGTGCAAGATTCAAAGAGTGCTCAGTCACTTGGTGAAATTGGAAATCAACAAGAGATGAGAAAGTCAAGGAGGAAGTTTGTAGTTCTTGATGATGGCGGTGATTTTGAGGGAGAGGGTGGGGCAATTGGTGGAAATTTTTCTTCTTCATTCCCTGGTGAGCAAAATTTTCCACTCGACACTTTGTATAGTGATCCTCAAGTGAAATCTGCGAATTGTTTGTCTGCACAGCCAGTTATTGATCCCATTTGGAGGTAAAAACTTTAACTTCCACTGCTTTAGATAGGCAATTACCTGTTTCATTTTAGATTTGGGATACCTAAACAGGCTTTTTCAGTGATTGCTACGAGCAGTTCTTTCTGCTATTGCCTTTCTTCCCAACTTCTTGGTGGGAGGATTCTTTATTGAATTTAGAAAAAAGAATTTTCTATTCACTGTCTTTATTTTTAACTGTAGGGGATGTTTTATCTTCAATACAGAAAGTGAAAGCAGTATTAATATCTTAGCTCATTTGTCAAACAAAGCCTGTGAAAAGGCGTCTATGGCAGCAAATAGGCTTCCTGTGAAACTTGATGTAAAACTTGTGTCCAAGAATGATGTATGGCCGAGGAGTTTCCTGAGGCTGCAACCAACAGACTGCAGTATTGCTTTGTATCTCTTTCCCGAGCTTGAAGAGTAACGTTGTCTTATTATAATGCAGTCATTGAACATTATGATCCTGATGTTCTCGAACCTTATCTATTAATACTGTCTTTCAGGGATGAAAATTCTTATGATGCTCTATTGGAAGATGTTATTGACAATGATCTTGCAATGAGTGCCACAATTGACGACTTGGAGCTTTTGATTTTTTCATCTCGTGTTCTGCCACAGAAACATTGGAGTAAGTGATGAATTTCTGCTTCCCAAGTCTTTATTTTCTCTCATTGAACCGAGATATCAGTTGTATTGTATTCAATCAAACACTTAACAAACCTTCACCTTATACAGGGCTTCGTAGGAAGTACTATTTGTGGGGCGTGTTTAAACATAAGTCACCCTCACGCTCAAGAATACCAACTTCTAGCGGCATTCAGAATGCAGCTACTAGCAATCTCCCAAATGAAGTCGAAGGTGCACATACAGGTAGTTCTCAGGACCAGAGTTTCCCAAGTCCCTTGAGCATACTGAAAGATGTGAATTCTGGCAGTCCTCCGGGTCGCTTCCCAAGTCCCTTGAGCTCCTGTTGTAACAGTACCTCTACAAAAGATTCTCCTTGCCATCATGAGAGAGTAGACTCAATAAAGGGGTAGGCTTCTCGCCTTTTTTTTATAGCAATACAACCCTCCGTTGGTGACGGCCAGACAAAGGAGATAGCTCATATTTTCGTGGTAAAATATTACACCAGTTATGGTTGAAAAACTTTATGTTGTATTGCAAACTTCTCAAAGTTGTTCATTGTGGGTGTTTGCATAATGTAAACTTTCAAATGGAAGTATTTTCTTTAGAGACGAACCCAAACTCATGGATATGAAATTGTTCCAGCATTACAATACATTTTATTCAGTACTATTCTTATACTCTTTGTCAAACGATCTTAAGCAAAAGGCATGTAATGTCATTAGTTTGGAAGTTTCGAAGGCCAATTTGTATTTCATTCGCTCAACAAACTACCATACACAATGCTTATAGGTCCTTGAACTAAGATATGGCTATTACTTATATTGATGACTTTCCACAAGTAGTTATCACATTTTCTTCTTCTCTTATTAGGATCAGAGCCAGGTAGGATCAAGAGGTTCATTCGAACTCCTTTTGATGAAAAATTACATGTTTTTGAACTCTCTTTTAACTTCATGTATTTAATTCTTCATACATGGTCATCTTTAGATCGAATGAAACATAAATGGTCTTTTAAACTTTCGAAGTACATTACGTCCTTTCTTGAAGAACATTGGGCATGGATGGAAAATTTCCTTATCAACATTAAAATAGAAGATAGCTCCATTTACGAAATCTCCCTTATCGAAGTATACATCTCGGGTTGTTTGGTATGGAGGATGGGATAAATAAAGTTATTCCATATTTGGGATGAAACATCTCGAGATTAATTAATACCCCTAACCAAATGCAAGATAGGATAATCTCACATTTTATCTTGAAATTATTATTTATTATTTCTCCTATCAAACGTCGTTGAATTTGAATGTTGACCTTTCAAATGCTTTAATGAGTTTGTTTATGAAAATTAGGGGTGTTCGTAATTCTGTTTGGATCGGTTTCTACCTAAAATACGACAAAATCATTTTTTTTAAATACAAGAAACAAATCAAATTAATTAAGTTATACACAGATCTTATCTCTACCATGAAGGTAGATAAGTTTCCAATAGATTCTCGACTCAAGGAAAAACAATTCAAAGCAGCATGACAAAAGAAATAACTGAGGTCAAGAAGTCATGGCAAAATACTACATAAAACATGACAAATCATTCTAAATAGTAGTTACAATAAAATAATACTATAATCAAAATGCTAGAAACAACCACCAGTAACAGAAATCGTGGACCAAGAAACTATAACAATAATGCTACGACTACTAGTATGGAAGGGTAAGCGAGACAATGATATACTACCTATGAACCTTCTATCCTAATATATATCATCTACGACCTCAAATCTATCGTAAAAAAAAACAAAAAGTAAGATTATTAGGAGGGCAAACAAAATATCAAATCAATTAAGCTTAGCCCAACAAATTGGTATATATGAAAGCCCGTGGTGCGACTGGACATGCATGGAGATGGTGTAGAGTAACTCTTATATTACCACCCATGATGAGTTAAGAAACAAGTCAAACGGAGAGTGATGAAGAGACGGAGACAGGACTTGAAACTTATGAGTTTAGTCATTTTACGCAACTAGATTCTAAATTAATAGTTTATACATATTCAATGGATTTCTTTTAATAACCATGGTGTGGAGGCCAGCTTGCACGCACCTCGATTAATACCTACCACTTCCCACCAGCAACAGATACCAGGTAACTTTGTCCACTAAAACTAGAACAGACGAAAAGAAATCACCTAGTATTTTTTTCTCTACTAGGATTTGAACCAAAGACATCATGATTCTCAACCTACTTCATTATTCAATGGATTTGTTAACGCAAATACAAGATTTGAACCAAAGTCACTAGGTTCAACCGAACATATAACGTATACACTAGCTCCGCCCCCTGGAGTGATGGCATGAACATGATAGTTTACTACCTTTGCCCATCCATTTCAAAAGTAGCTCTCATGTTATGGCATGTGAAGAGCTGAAAAACAAGCCCACTAGATTGTGATAGCATGGGTTGATTTACTATTTTTGTCCCACCCACTGATTGGTTTACTACATTTATTCATAGCTTGGAAACATATACACAAGAAGAAACATATGGGCTTTGGTGGCCATACATTCTCAGATGAATCTTAGTGATAGGTCATGTGGTAATTAGTTCAAGAGGTAGATTGTTGAGTACGCGAACAAAGCCTCACATTGGAAATTGATAAGAAACGAAAGCTACATATGAGGTGTAAAGATACTTCTAAAGGTGTGAGACCTTTTGGAAAAATCTGTGCGGACTTTACCCAAAGCAAAGCAGTATCAGACCATGTTAAGAGTGTTTTCGGGGCTGACTTAGTCCAACGACTCAAAACTTACCCGTTAAAGAGAGATGAGAGTCCCAGAAAAGACGTCAAATAAAATTTTGCTAGTGGGAACAAATATTGCAGAAGAATAGAGCTGTGATAGAAGTTGATTTAAGGCCAAAATGGTACACAGGCCATCTAAATATGAGCTATGACATGGCTTTAAGGAAACATACTAAGAATTTGTGTAATGAACTATGTTGCTAGGACTCTCCAAATATACTTTACGCCCGTGTCAGATCCTCCAAAAAGGATACGACACACACCTAGCAGTATTTTTGGAGAGTCCGAGAAACATAGGTAATGAATTCTACTATTTGGTGAAGCTAAAAAGTGGTGATTGCAGCAAGATCAAGTTTTTGGAAGGTAACTGGTTGGAACCTGTTCCACTTAAAGACACTTCAACTGAACATTATGGCTAGGCAAAACTTGTAAGGATGTACCAATGCAGAGAGTAGAAATGGAATTATATGACCTGCTTTACTTGGATATCCACATGTGCCACTATGTTGCTCGGACTTTTCTAAAATATCACCAAGAGTGAGTCAAATCCTCCAAAAGCTATGTATTTTTGAAAGATCTGACACGGGTGGAACAACATTTGTGAAGGGTCCGAGCAACATAATATGTGAGGCATGCTTCACATAAGAAAACTTACAGAAAAGGGCACCCTGGAAGGTTGACAAAGACAGTATGATGAAATCACTGGAATCAATATGGTCAAGAGTACCCTCATGCGTTCCATGGACTGACTGGAAGAAATAAATTAGAAGATTTTTTGAAGGAAGAACTGGTCTTGAACATAGTGTAAAACTATAAATGGTCACCAAGTTTGGATTTTTGGTGCAAAATATACAAATTAAATGGTTTTGACACATTGATGAACTTTGTTGATCTAAGATACTCAAGAAGGAAGTTTAGTCTTGTAAAACTTGTCAATCACTTAATGATACTCAAAGGGCAGTCACCTCCCGCTACGCACGAGGCCGGGAAGGTCCGGACCACAAGGGTTTATTGCACATCCTTACCTTGCATTTCTACAAGAGCCTATTCCCACAGTTTGATCCTGTGACCTCCTAGTCACATGGAAACAACTTTACTTGTTACACTGCAGCATTCAAAAGGTAACCAGACAAAGATGCTTTTACATTAATAGTCACCTCTAAAATTCTGTAAAACAGATGCATTTTTGTTCTCAAAGCAATTACATAGGGCTAAGGTCTACATATGTCAATGTATAAATGAAATTGATGAAGTTACCTAGTAACTTAAATCTCTGAAACTCTTCGGACTTCGACCAAAAATTTTCTGCTGTGGTGTATCTACCTCCATCTAAATGGCCAACATTCACCTTGACCCTTTGATAAATCAAGAAAAGGAAAAGGGAAAAAAGGTTTTGATCTGAACTAGTTGTATAGTTATGAAGAAGAAAGATCTCCTGATCCTAGGCTCACTAGGAAAGCTACATATGATAATTTAAACAAAATGATGTGTTGGATATTCATGCTCATATCCATTGTAATCATAGTACAGCCGCTCTCCCTTAGCAATATCACGAATTGCAACCAAAAGAACGTGACATGCGCCCTTTACACTGTATCTCACGCATTTCAGGTTCTGCTTCTTCTTACCCTCCCTGCAAAAATTGGAATAGTCTCAAGAACAGTAGGTTGGTTACTATAAGATCTCTTGATATGAATGTTTAGACACGCGGTTGGTTGAGCATATCATAAAAAGCATAGACTTTAGAAAGCCACGATTTATGGAGGAGAAAAGATGGACAAAGATCGAGTTTAAGAAGGCAAGATTGAGGTTACTAGCTTACGGTGAATGGTTATTTATGCCATTGATAAACCGAGAAATGTTTCCCCTCTTATCAGGACAGATAACAAGACTTTTTGATGGGTCTCTTGCTAAAAGAAGGGTCATCATGCTATCACAATCATCCTCCTGCCGATTCCTGATATAATCCACATCGCCTGTATATTCTGCTAATATTGTCAAGTCCTTTATAGGCCCATCAGCTTCTACAGTATAGCTGCATTAATAAGATGCATTAGATTTCATGTGCAAATACAAAACAAGCAGACAAGAAACTCACAAGCAATCTGAGGTAACTAGGCATACCCTTCACGAGAATCAAAAACAACCATGAGAGGAGGGCATTCCCCTCTTTTATACATAGCTCTACACTGCTCCAGGGTTTCAGTATCTTCTTTTGAGAGAACCTATAACAAAAGGAAAATATTACATGGTGAAGTGTGAGCTAACACCTTATAACATTGAAAGAGCAATAGAATAGACCGACTGACTGTGAGACCAATAGCAAACCTGCATTCCACCACTTTCAAACTTGGCACTGTTAGAAGATTTACGAGCCATGCCAGGCATGTAAGTTAGCTCATCGCTGAATTCCATATCGAGAACTGTCAGTGCAGAAGCAAGAGATGCCATTTGAACTAGCCTCCTGTGAGGATCTTCTGTTGGAATATATAGTGATAGCCTTCTGCGTCTCTTGTGGAAAACTAGTGAACGCTTCCGACGTTTTCTGGTATCTACTGACAATGTTGACAGGGAAAAATGGAAAATCAGAAACTAACGATACCTTCTTTTAAAAGTTTAAGGAGAAAAATTCGCTAGCTTGCAATGGATTACAAGGATCTGGTAGCAAAATATATCTAGGGAAATCTCTGAGATTAGAAAGCGAATCTACTCACAATAAAATGTAAATTCTCTTTAATACAAATCATAAATATACATTCTTCAAAACAGAATGACCAAAAATTGCAGCATATAACTCAATATCAGGAAAATAGAAAAAGAAAACCAAGGGAGTAACCAGTGTTGTGAAAGGCGATCGCCTCGTTGCCAATGGCGAGGGGCGAGGCGACCCTTCATCGCCTATTCGCTTTGTGGCGAGGCAGACCCTTGTCGCCTTTCGCCGTCCAAAACACTGGGAGTAATGCACCCAAGGGTGTGGCCCAGTGGTCAATGAAGTGAGTTGAGAATCATGAGGTCTCAAGTTCAAATATCAACAAAGGCTAAAACACTAGGTGATTCCTTCTCATCTATCCTAGCTTTGGTGGACAGAGTTACATGGTACTTGTTGCTGGTGAAAGGTGACAAGTATCTGGTAGAATTAGTCGAGGTGCGAGAAAGTTGGTCTGGACACCACAGTTATTAAGAAAAAAACGAGTAACTCATCTTAGTTTCAAATGAAATATTGGTGTATAGATCTTCCTAGACAAGTAACATAAGAACAGTTCTCACATTATTTGCTAACCTAATCTTGATGAAAATGGTCTAGTGTAGGATTTATATCTATTTGGATAACACTACGTAGCAAAAAGACAACTAAGGAAAAAGAATAAAGTGCAGCACTGACAAGTAGCTCCTTACTGAATTGTAGCAACAAAATCATATCAGTGATGACAAGCAAAAGTTCATATTTTACCAACAATTTTTGAGCTAACCAGTGCTATCACACTGCATAGGTAGTTGCATGAATGTTTATAGCAAGCTTAATACTTACCTCATACGTGAGTGGTTTGATCAAAGCATATATTAATTAAGCTTCAATCCAAACTAGTTGCCGGATGTGGAAAAATTAGAATGCTTTTGTGCAAAAATTTGATCAAGCACATTGTCATTGAGACAGATAATTATTAAATTCCTTTCTTATGTGCACAAGTATAACTCTATCACAATGGCAACAGTCACTTTTAAGGACATTAGAACATTTAAGAAAGTGATCTTTTGTTAATTAAACCTTACTTAGCTTGAATTTTTTTCTGAAAGAAGAAACATTTTGTGTTCAAAATCCAATTTCCTCATTAAGAAAGTAATGACTAAGTAAGATACAATTGAACAACCTTAATGTCCTACCAAACGACTGCAGAAAAGAAAGGCAGGTATTGTGAGATGGAGTTATCTGTTAACTAATGAGTTATCCAATTCAATGGATAAATTAAGAGAAACTTATGGTTCATTAAAATAATTCAGAAATTACTCGATTATTAATTATTTTGCGAGTAACTTCAGATTATCAAATGGCATCTGACAAAAGCTATACTGCAAAGACAGAAAGACAAGTTATTAGCAAAACACATTTGATCACAATGATAAGTTAACTGCAGGATGTTGATTCTTCCATCAAATTTTGAGATTATGAATGTTGAACCTAAACATCAAGCACACTAAACTCGTTGATCCACCAACTTGAAACTAAATATGGAAACAGAAGATAATAATTGGAAAACGTCAATCCATATCAAAAGAGCAAGCAGGAAATGAACTCTAGCAACTAAAACATAAATTACATAAATTGGAAAAGATAAAGAAACACTCACTACTATATAAAGGGATGATCTTGCACTTACCCGAAAAGATAAAGAAACACTCGCTACTATATAAAGGGATGATCTTGCACTTCTCCGAAAATATAAAGAAACACTCGCTACTATATAAAGGGATGATCTTGCACTTACCCGAAAAGATAAAGAAACACTCGCTACTATATAAAGGGATGATCTTGCACTTACCCGAAAAGATAAAGAAACACTCGCTACTATATAAAGGGATGATCTTGCACTTCCCC